GTTCCAACTGTTGTACTAAAATGTTTACAAATTACCTAAATGCCCTTTGAGTAAGGTTTCTCATGTACCTGTGTACTCCCTATCAACTCCTGTCCTTCTATCGGTCTGTCTTCTACTGCTGACCTAATGAGACTAGGAGACTGTCTTCCGTTTTCTACCCGCTGCTTTCTCTTCTGCATGTTCTCTTTTCATTTCATCTGTGAGCCAAAAGGAAGAAAAACCGCCCTCTCTTTGGTCATGTAAGTTGTTCCGGGAGCATCTTTGTGTCAAGGAGACGGAGGCTGTGGATGTGGGAGTGACATGATGGCCAGGTGGTCCCCTCAGCACCTCCACTCCTGGAAGTGTGGGGTCTCATAGTCTGCACACACTGGGGTCTCATGTGGGCAGGGGAGGAGCACAGCTGTGATGCACTCCTACAATTTCCTGATGTGGTCTGGCACAGCTTACGTATCTTCTTAGAGCCTAAACTTCCTTAATAATAAAATTAAAGTAATAATACATAGCTAATGCATTTGTTTTGAGAATTTGATGGAGTAACCTATACCTGGGTTCAGTAAATGTTTAGGTCACTTTCCATTAAGCTTATTTATTCCATCTAAATCAATAGAAGCCATTCCTTTATGATACTGATTTCCTCTTTTCTTTCATTGCTAGTCTTGTGAAATCTTTTTCTGTTATACTCCCTGTAAATTAACTGTATATTTTAGCTTCATTATGGCTTAAATAAGCCTTTATTTGCTAACCTGAGAATCTTAGCTATCATTATTTGCTTGCTTGTTTGTGAAAATGTGTTTCATGTTACAAACATCTTCCTTACTCAAAAACTTCAGTAACACAATCCATTTGTAAATGAAACATTGTGTTGTCTGCCTAGCATTACCCATTGAGAATAGTCGGTGCTCCGCAATTGTTCGTTGTTGAATGATTTAAAGACATCTTACTGTGACCACTGTGGCTCTCGCAGCACTACAGCACTCAGTCCTTGCAGAATGCGCCTTGAAAACGGCTGTCTTAGCTTAGCCTCAGTCTCTTTCTGCATACAAAGGTGAAAGGTATGTGTTGTTGTTATTAGTTGCGTCAGGTTCGCTCAGACTCATGGTGCCCGTATGTATAACAGAATGAAACGTTGTTCAGTCCTGCACCATCTTCATGATCTTTGATATGTTTGAGTCCATTGTGTCCATTGTGTCTGTTGTGTCAGTCCATCTCATTGTGGGTTTCCCTCTTTTTCGCTCACCCTCTACTTTTCCAGCCGTGATGTCCTTTTCTAGCAATTGGTCTATCCTGATGACGTATCCAAAGTAAGCGAGCTAAAGCCTTACCATCCTTGCTTCTAAGGAGCATTCTGGTTGTATTTCTCCTAAGGCTGATTTGTTCGTTCTTTTGGCAGTGCGTGATATATTCAGTATTCTTCACCAGCACCACGGTTTGAATGTGTCAATTCTTCTTCTTCTTTTTTCATTGTCCAGCTTTCACATGCCTATGAGGTGATTGAAAAGTGTTTATCAGTTGGTTCATAATCATTTAAAGAGTAGAAAAATCCTGAATAATATGAATGAGACTTTATATTAGATAAGAAGAGTCGTGGGGCTCAGTGTCATAGAAGAATGAATGACTTCATCTTTAGTTCATTCAGCACAGATTGGTGAGGGCTACAGAGAAAAAAAGTTGCAGCCCTGCCCTCTAAGAGCTCAGAAGACAGGCCCATAAACACGTCATTACACCAGTTATCTGGTGAGACTATGATATATGCACGGAATATGATGAGATTGGGGTCAGGTAGAGTAGGGGTTCTTGAACAGAGATTTGAGAGCTAATGGGGAATCCAGATGAAGACTGGCTTCTGACTGGGGTAGTCCAGCCCTTGAGACACTGAATGTGGCAGAGGTGAGACTACAGAAGCAGGAGAAGAAGGCTTCCAGTTTGTGTTGGCGTGGATTAGACAAACCCAAGGATACATAAGTGGTGCTATTCTTTGGGAACCTTCTTTGGGTCTGCTTGTCACACCTCAACCTGTAGATTCTAAACTAAATAACTTTGGGTTTCAGTTGCAACATTGAATCCATCTGTTTTTCAAAGTTGTGGAGGATGGACTTGCTGCTGGTGGTAAATGGGGGTGTGGGTGGGATGAGAATGTGGCAGATGGCCTTGATACCAGCCGAAAAGAAAGCGTGTTTAGGTAACTCAGGTTCAACTGTTTGTGCTTAGGAATAACGGTGGGGCAAGTCATCAGTAGACTAGAGTGTAGGATGGAATGAAGTAGTCGAAGCAGAGAGGCGAATACTGGGCGAAGGAAGGTATCATGGAGCCAAGCTGAGTGAGGCCCAGGGGTTTCCAAAGGTGGCTGCACAGACTTATTCCCCAAGACTGTTTTCTGCTCACCCCACATCCGTCATGGCAACAGCCCAGGCTCTGTGTTGACTCAGGAAGCTTCCCAGTACTGGTTGCCTCAGACCATTAATCTGACTAAGACGAGAGCATTTATGTGAAAGCACTTTGTAAACCGTAAAGCATCACACGAATGCCAGGAAAAGTATTATGTGAAGGCATAATAATGAACCATAGTGTTCATTCTCTCATTCCATTTCCAAACCAAATCTCCCCTTAACGTCTCATGACTTGTTATAGCTGAAAAGAAATAGTAAAATGTTTTCAAAAGTCATTGTCATGAGTATAAGATTTTACCTAAAACCTCTGTGCTTCAGAAAACTAACATTTAAAACGATATTAAAAAAAAGTTCCTTTGAATTAGCTACTACATAAATGGATGTTTGTATAATTCACGTCATAAGTGTATTTAAATCAAAGTAAAGTGCATTTTTGTGTCTAATTTGGTCCACCAGGCAGTCATTTTCATGTTTTTTTTTATGCATTTGTGTAAGTTTAGCACAATTTTTCAGCCAAGCTTTCTTAAAGATGTTTTTGAACTGTAGTACTATTTGATTTTTTTATTCACCTAAAACGCATATTCCTTTTAATGAATTCAGTAAATCATTGGGCTAATAGAGAAGATTCTCTTGTTTATTATAATTAAGTTGGGTAGCCTGCAGTTTATGTTCCACAAAGGCCATCTCATTTCCTTATGTATACCAGTCGTCTTTGTGAATGACCATCTGGAGTAGAGTGTTTTGGAGAGCTCATCTGAGTCTTCGGCGAAGTCTCAGCTTTGCCATCTGTGGAACCAGGGTCATTCTGCAGTGCTCATTTGTGAGTTTTTCATTTAATGTCATTCTGCCCCCTCCAATCTGCTTTGTATGTTCAGTGGTATGTGTGTATATGTGTGTGTTGCACATCTCTTTATTTCAGTTATTCCTTGCTTAGTGGAAGCATATCTTGAATATTCTAACCAGTTGGCAAGGATGTTTGATTCTGGGATATTTGAAGATCCACAGAGTTAAGATATCTCTTATTACTAGAAAAGTAGTCATTTATCATTTTGTAAGTCACCAAATAGAGAACTTAGTTATGAAACCCTTGGGTCTTATATGTCTGGGTTGTCACATCGAGGTCAAAGGAGTCAGAAGCCAATTTATTTTACTGTAGTTGTATGTAATAGGAATTTCTGTATAGGCAAGATGTATGTATGTGCGTGTATGTGTATATATACACAAATATATTCCCCTGCTGGCATGATTCTGTGTTTATATTTGTTTTAGCTAACAAGTGCTTTGCTAACAGAAATACCACAAATGGGTGACTTTAAGAAACAGAAATGTATTTTCTCACAGTTCAGGAGGCTAGAAGTCCGAATTCAGGGTGCTGAGTCTAGGGGAAGCCTTTCTGTCTCTCTTGGCTCTGAGGGAAGGTCTTTGTCTCTTTGAGCTTCTGCTCCTGGGCGATTTTCATGTGCTTGGCATCTTTCTTCCCCCGTCTCTGTTTGCTCTTTTGCTTATTTAATCTCTGTATCTCATAAGAGACTGACTCAACACACACCCCACTCTGATCTTGTCTCATTAAAATAAGAAAGACAGCCCATTCCCAAATGAGATTATAACCACAGGCATAGAGGTTAGGATTTACAATACATATTTTGGGGGGCCACAGTTCAATCCGTAACAATATTTATCCATATGCAAAGTATGTTACAGAGTGATTACCTTAAAGAATAGTTTCAAAGAGGCCCTTATCTGGCTCTACAGAAAGTTTACCAGCCTTGATCTAAACCATTGTGGAAAATGGGGGCTTATGTATTTTCCCAGTGAGTCAGTTGGTCAGTGAATTTTTTTCCATGGGACAGTGGTGGTTCAATGGTAGAATTCTTGCCTTTCGTGTGGGAGACCTGGGTTCGATTCCAGCCAGTGCACCACATGTGCAGCCATCACCCATCTGTCAGTGGAGGCTTGCATGTTGTTAGGATGTTAAACAGGTTTCAGCTTGGCTTCCAGATTAAGATGGACTAGGTGATCTGCTTCTGAAAATCAGGCAATGAAAACCCTATGGATAACAATGGTCCGATTTGCAGCCGATCGGGGATGACACAGGATTGGGCAATGTTTGGGGATGACACAGGATTGGGCAATGTTTCACCCACTGCACATGGGTCGCAATGAGTTGGGGGCCACCTCAATGGCAGTTAACAACAAAAGCAACATCTGTGCCCCTGTTATTGTGCTAAGGATTATGATCCCTTGAGAATTAATCTTATTATAGAGCACAAAAGTCTCTGAATGGAAGGATACCACTGAACATACAAAGCATATTGAAATACACTGCTGTGACTAAATAGCATGCAGTGTGACATAGCACAGAGCCTGGTAATCAGGCACCAGCATCATCACAGACTGTAAGGGGCACTGGCCTGGGACGCGAGTGCTGCCTTTGTCACCAGTGATGTGTGTGACCTCCCAAGGCAATTTTATAATCTTTGTATTGCCTTCTTCACTTTAAAACATGGATTGGATTGAATGACTTCTAGAAGCCTCCCTGGCTCTGAAACTGTTACTCTATGACATTCAAAATTAGGTCTGTGATAGTCTGTAACCATTGTAATATGTCCACAGGGTGTTACCTACTGTGGAGAAAGTTCTGCAAGCAATCTGACCATGGCCAACGTGCCCTGGCACGAGGAAGTGGTGCGCTTTGTCCACGAGCTGGTGGATCTGATCCCCGACTATGATGTTGCATGTGAACATGAACACTCCAATTGCCTCCTGATAGCACACAAAAAGGTAACGCATTCTTCAGTATACATTCTTCTCTTACCCATATTTTTACTGCTCCTTTCTTCTCTTTTCTTTTTATTTTCCTCTCAGCCTGTCATAGTTGGAGTCTGGTGGCGCAGTGGTTAAGCATTCAGCTGCTATCCAAAAAGTTGTCAGTTCGAATCCACCAGCCGCTTCTTGGGGCAGTTCTAGTCTGTCCTATAGCGTCTCTTTGAGTCGGAATGGACTCGACGGCAGTGGGTTTTTTTGGTCATAGTTAAGATCTGCTTGTTTGCTGCCTTTCCTAAAACAAACATTAAGAAAATCCTAAATTCTGTCTCTTGGGCTCATAACTCTCTTTTCTGTGTGAAATTGTTTCTTTCTTAGCTCTCACCTAGACATCTTGAAGTGCTTTCCGGTTTGTCATTTTTAAGATAGGTACGTGTTAAAACAAAAACAAAAACAAAACACACCCTTGCAATAACCTCTAGTCCTTTCTTTGAATGACAGGGAAAAGCTAACATATTAAACAGCCCCCACATGAGTGTTTCCAGCTATAGGAGAAATGCGATCACGCATCAATTAACGTCCACACAGTACATTCTGTGAAATAGGATGTTATGTGATTTGAATGTTGTGCGAACACCATATTGTATACTTAGCAAAGCTATATGGGATACTGTGTTGTACCTGTATTGACTAAATAGCCAAGATACTGTACACGTACAGTACTGTATTTCAGCTAGTGTATCTGGCAATACACAAGATTGGATGCTGCTGCCTACAAGTTGAAGCATACAGTGTTTGTAAGTAGGGAAAATTCACCTTAAAATGATAGCAAGTACAGTACATACATAACCCAGTAACACAGGCGTTTATTGTGACTATCAAGACATACGTATTATAGGTTATATATGTACTATTATACATCTGGCAGCACAATTGCTGTGTATACAAGAGATATGAAATACATGTGTTGCGTGCGGGAAGCTGTTTCGTTTGCTACATCTGGTTATGTCTGCTATGTCCCGTTCTCTGATTGGGATTTCTGAACTCTTTTATAACCTTATGAGACCACGGACATATATGTGGTCAGATATTGTGTGACCAGACACTATGTGGCACATGACTGTATTGGGGTATTTATCAATTTAGAGTTCACTTTGAATCTGGGCACCTGGAGAATTTTGTCTGGGATTTTTGTTCATGATTATTTTCATTTTTCCCCTTTAATGCCTTTATTAGGACAAGAACCCAGATCCAGTGTCTTTCTTAAGTAAATAATGCTTACTAAAGGAAAAATTCAGTTCTTGGTAGGGGTAGGTCATTAAAATAAGAAAAAACCTTAATTAGAACACCGGTGTTAGAGCAGCTTCATAACGGTTATGTCTTCACTGAAATATTTACAAATGAAATAATGTGATGTCTGGGATTTTATGGAAAATAATACGAGGTGGGTAGTGCATGGGTGTCTGAATGGGTTGAGGGTTGTTGAGACTAGATGATGGTACATAGGGGTTTATTATACTGTTCTGTCTTGTTTTCATTCAAATTCTCCATTAAAAAGAGCTTTCTAAAAACGTGAATGTGGTTGAGCTTGAAAACATTATGCTAAGTGAAAGAAGCTAGACACAAAAAGCCTCATATTCTGATTCCGTTTATATGCAATGTCCAGAATAGACAAATCTGTAGAGACAGGAAGCAGATTGGTGGTTGCCAGGGGCTGGGGGCAGAGGGGACTGGTTGCCAGGGGCTGGGGGCAGAGGGGACTAGGAAGTGGCTGCCAATAGATATGGGGTTTCTTTTTTGGATAATGAAAATGTTCTGAAATTGGCTTTATGTTGGCTTTGTGAATATACTGAAAACCACTGAATTGTATACTTTAAAAGCCTGAATTTTATTGTTTGTGAATTATTCCACAATAAAGTGTTATTTAAAAAAAAAAAAAAAAGAAGGGAGGACTGTTGATTAATACCAAAAAAGTAATAAAGGTCAAAGATGGAATACGTCTTCTAATATAAATGATTTGTATGCAACTAAAGTCAGCTTTAATTTGAACATGAAAGGCCCACTCTTTCCCCCCAGTAACCAAAGTGACTTCCTGCTTGGAAAGTCAGACCTCTCTTCTCTGACACCAAACATGTTGATGAGTCCAAATCAATTTATTATCAATTCTGTTCCCTTCTGTTCTGATACCAGCTGCACATGCAGCACTTCTTCCTCTGACTCCACGCGGAGCGAGGTGAGAGCTCACAAATTAAAGGACACAGTTCTCCAGACTGCTGAGTCGGCCCAAGACCTCAGACACCAGCTGCAAGCTTGGAATCTTTACGGCAACCTCACTTCTGACATGCTGGCTACAAATTTGGGGTTTTTCCACTACCCCCTCAGAATACCAGCTGTAAGCTTAGAGTTTCCTCTACCCCCTTAGGATAGCCATTTGCTTAGCTGTAAGCTCAGGAGTCCCCAGACGCCACCTCACTTCTCACTTGCTGGGTCCCATTACTTCCTCAGGTTTGATAATTCATTAGAATGACTCACAGAAAGTGCTATACTTACAATTACACTTTTATTATAGCAAAAAAGGGTACAAATGAAGAGAAGCATAGGGTGAGGTCTGGGAGGGTCCCTGTTATGGATTGAATTGTGTACCCCCAAAATATGTGCTGTAAATCCTAACCTCTGTGCCTGTAGTTATAATCCCATTTGGGAATGGGTTGTCTTGTTATGTTAATGAGGCAGTATTAGTGTATGGTACGTCTTGAGTCAATCTCTTTTGAGGTATAAAAGGCAAGCAGAAGAAGCAGAGATGGGTAAGATAGATGCCAAGCAACATGGAGATCTCTAAGGAACCAGGAAGCAGAAGCTGAAGAGACAAGGACCTTCTCCAGACCCAGTGGAGAGAGAAAGCCTTCTCCTAGAGCCAGCGCTCAGAATTTGGACTTCTAGCCTCCTAAACTGTGAGAAAAATAAATTTCTATTTGTTAAAGCCATCCACTTGTGGTATTTCTATTACAGCAGCACTAGATAACTAAGACTGTCCCCTACTGCTGGCTGTAGTGGACGGGAAGTACCCGGGCACCCACGTCAGTTGGCTGGAGAGGCACACTCCCTCCAACCCTCCTGATCGTAGGAGGCAGAGGGTCCTGTGCCCAGCGGACCACCCTATCTGAATAGGGATCATAAGATGAGCATCCTCTGTTCCCCCCCCCGCCCCCCCAGCTGAGAGGTGGCAACTGCGCGGCTGTGTGGGCACCAGTCCATTGCTCACTCCCCCTTTACCTGACCCAGAGGGAGGTGGCACCACCTCATCCATGCATATGGCTACCCACTTACTCTGTCACTCTGTCCCCACCTGACCTGGTGAGCGGTGGAGGCTAAGTGGCTGAGCACGAGCCCACCCATCACATACCTTCCCACCAACCCAGCAGGAGGTGGCACCAGTGTGACTACATGTGCATGCCTGCCCAACACCCACCTCCTGCCTCCCCCAACCCAGCAGGAGGTGGTGACAGTGCAGCTGCATGCCCAATAATCACACCTACTGCCCCACTCACTTGATGAGTGCCCCTCCCTGTCCTGTGTGACTGGAACAATGACAGACTGCAGCCAATTCCTGCCCAACGTGCCCTCAGCTGCCCTGAAAGACGAGTGAGCAGAAACCTGTGTCTACACAACCAGCTGCCTCCCCCCCGCCTCCACCCAGAGACGGGGTGAGGGCTCCAGTGTGACCAGAGTAGAGACTAGAGTAGCACGCGCTCCTCACTTGCCCAGATACATCAAAACAGAACAAAAGATGAGGATGCAGCAAACAAACATACAATAAATAAATAAATATAATAACACCTTAATGCCTTGGAGACAACAGACAATATTAAGTCACATGAAGAAGCAGGACAAGATGGTACCAGCAAGTGACCAAAATAAAGAACCAGAAAACATTCCTGAGGAAGAAATAGTAAGGGACCTACCTGATAAAGAATTCAAAAGGTTTTTTATATATGGGGTTCTCAAAGAGATCAAGGAAAACACAGGCAAAACCAAGGAAAATAACAGACAAAATCAAGGAAAATACCAACAAAGAGTTAGAAGAATTCAAGAAGACAATACAAGGACAAAATGACAAAATAAATGGACAGTTAGAAACCATACAAAAATGGCATCTAGAAATCCAGAAGATTAACAGTAAAATTTTAGAAATAGACAACTTAATAGAAGGACATAGGAGCATAATTGAATCTGTGGAAGACAGAATTGGAGAAATAGATGACTAATCCCTTTACGCTAATTTGCTTGAGGAACAATCAGAAAAAAGAATGAAGAAAAATGAAGAAAGCCTAAGAATTATGTGAGACACTATCAAGAAGATTAATTTATGCATGATGGAATTCCAGAACAGGAGGGCACAAAAAAAAAACCACAGAGAGAATTGTCAAAGATTTGCTGGCAGAAAACTTCCCTAATATCATGAAAGATGAGAAGATACCCATCTAAGAAGCTCAGTGAACCCTTTACAGGATAGACATCAAAAGAAAGTCACCAAGATAACATAATCAAACTTGCCAAAACCAAAGACAAAGAGTCTTGAGAGCAGCTTGAGAAAAACAAAATGTCATCTTCAAAGGGGAACAAATAAGACTAAGCTCTTATTTCTTGGCAGAAACCATGCAGGCAAGAAGGCGATGGGATGACATATATAAAACCCTGAAAGAAAAGAATTGCTAACCAATAATTATATATACAGCAAAATTGTCTCTCAAATACAATGGCGAATTTAGAACATTTCCAGATAAACAAAAGTTAAAAGAATTTGTAAAAACCAGACCAACCTTACAAGAAATGCTAAAGGAAGTCCTTCTGACAGAGAACCAAAAACATCAGACAATAACCTGAGATTAAGATGCATGACAGCATCAGCCAGATACCAATCCAGATAAATAATTCTCAAAAATAAAATAAAGCTTAAAGAATGAAAACAGAGAACCAGAGATATCAATCTGTAAATGACAACAACATCAAAACAAAAA